TTATTTATATTTATATTTATATTCATATTGATATTTATGTTTATATTTATATTTAAAACTCGAGATGTATTTATTTTGAGATTTATTTTATAAATATGTTGAATGTATAAAATGCATATAAAATTTGGAGAGATTGTTTTTTTTTTAATTTTATTAGATAATATGTGATTCTAATTGAGTTTAATTGATTAAGTATAAAAAATAATTGCTTATATATAATTATAAAATAATTTTTCACTCTTTTAATTTATGGATCTTGCACTGTGTATGTTGAGACTTTTCCATTGTCATTGACAGTGGTTTGTGCTTTTCTAAAGGATGTCTTTTTTCCGTTAATATCACTACTGCCTGAAACACTGGAGGTAAAGACGGAGTAAGTGCCACCTGGTACAGTTCCACCTTCACTTCCGAAGCGGTTTAAGACGTTAGGTGAATTCTGAAAATTGAAACGAATTTTATATACCTATATGACTCTAGCCAATAATGTTTCAAATTAGTGTAAAGTAAAATATTTTATTTCATCAAATAAAATTCTAATTTATTTAAAATACCATGCACTTAGTTGTGTTTCGTATTACAATTTAGATTTGTAGTTTCCCAAAAATCTCCAAAAATTATAAAATTTGACGCTGCTCAGGAGAAACATAAATTTTGATCTATGCAGAGAATAATTTCTTGATTTAATTTGCCTAGCCACATGATAACAATCTTTGTTCACTTTCACTTAAAAATTAAAAATAAATTTTGTTCATTCGTCTAAACCGAAAATGTTTAAAATAAAAATATATATGTTAAAAATTTTGACAAACTATATCTACAAATTTAACGAAATAGTTTGAATCATTATTAGATATAAAATATAGGAATGTATACAAGATTATTTAAATATTTTGAATTAAAATAAGATTTTATAAAATGCAAGAACCAAACTAATGAACTCCTTTTAAATTTTACACGGACGAATGATCAGGTATAGCTGGATAAGATAAAATAAGATGAGATTTTTTTTCTAAATTAAAAGTAGCTTAAGTTAATTCCATTAATATAAGAATATATTATAAGAAACCTTATATACTTATATGCATGTATTAAAAAACAGCAGTTTCCAATATTACAGACACTCTAATTTTTTATATGTATAGAAGTATAGATAAATATGTATACAATATATGTCCTGCTTGTTTTCAAATATTATTGCAATAATATATAAAAGCAATATACTTACAGGATTGGGCGGCGAGAGCTGAGCAGACTGAAATCCGCCGTTTGGCCCCAAACTGGCGGCGGCCATGGCAGCAATTGGCCCGTTTGCTCCGCTGCCGTATTGATATGAAGGCATAGCACCGACTGGCATGGGGAAAGCGCTTCCTATTTCGAAAAAATGTTTTGTTTAATAAAATGCTTTTAATAATAATAATAATATACCTACATATATATAAAAATAAGTCGGGTTTTCCTTCCCGACGATAGAACGCACGAACCGATTTCGACAATTTTGCATTCTTTGGAAAGGTCTCGGGCTCCACAAGGTTTATAGCTAAAATTAGTGGTGCATGGCATCGTGTCTTAATGCAAATTGCTGAAACTTCGCGCACCGTAATTAAAAATTCGAGTAATGACATTAGTGAGAATTATCAGAATTATGCTTGGTTAAGTCAACGAGCAATTCTTGCCGCAAAGAATAATGATGTACACGCACTGAATTTCACCATTCAATCAAAAATTGCTGGCGATTTGGTGACATACCAATGATTTCGACTGGTCTTCCGTTTGACTTCAAACGATTGCAATTTCCAGTTTGCCTTACATTCGCAATAACAAGTCGCAAGGCCAATCTCTTAGTGTTTGCGGGATAAATTTCAAATAGATTATTTATAAAATCATTGTTTTTTACATGGACAGTTATACGTTGCCTGTTCACAAGTTGGAAAACCATCCGCTTTGTTTGTGTTGACGTCAGACCAAAAAACAAAAAATGTGGTTTACCAAAGAGCACTTCAATGAAACGGATAATTTGTGGATTCACTTTCATTTACTTAGAGAAGTTCAACTAAAAAACATTTCATTTTTGTAATCAAAATAAATTTATTACTGTTGTATAATAATATCAAATTTTTCCTTTTCAAATATAAAACAAACAAAAAATTTCCTCATCTTTCTCACGAAATCATCTGGTGGCGAAACGGAGTTCGTCGGGTTTGCTAGTATATATATATATGTATATATATGTGTGTGTATATATATATATATATATATATATATATAATTACTATATTTGTTACAACTGCTAACTAATTTAACATCTAGTAACAATATTGAACAATAACATAAATTTAAATAAAAGAGTACAAAATAAAGGATAAATAATATTTAAAATTTAGTTTGATTTTGAATTTCAGTTCAATTTTTTTAATTTAATTTAAATGACTTCAATATCAGTTTGATATTTTGACATCCTGAATCAAAACTTGCACTTTACTTTCTACTATTTTATAAACAAAAGAATATATAAACTAAATTAAACATTACATATAACAAATTGAAGTTGCGGCGTTTTTAGTGAGAGCTCGAATAAAATTACAAAGTAAGGGTTAATCTATTCCGGAACGGTAAAAAATAACTAATTATGATTTGTTCAAAGACGATTTGTAATTTAATCAACAGTTTTTATATACATATTTAGATGTAAAAAACAGTATTATACATATGCGCATTAAATTGTTCGATATGTCTTTTGAATATATAATATGGAATTTAAAATTTCTTATATAGATATAATAGAACTCTCAACAATTTATTTTAATAATATATTTAATATATAGAGTAAAATTTCAGCATTTAAATGTAAACAAGTTATATTATATTTAAACGGGTTATAACAATTAAAAGTTTTTTTTACGTTTCTCTAAAATGTTTCAAAATGTTATATTTGTCGATTTCAAATTTTTATTGATTTGTTAGGATGCCCTACCAAAGAAAATTTTAGGAAAATTGTTAAATTTTATATAGAAAAAACTATAACTTTTCGATAATTGGGCCAATAAGTCTTTCAAAAGCCAAAATTCGTTCTATGAATAAGACATTTCAAAGATGAACAGATTGAACAGATATTTCAAAGATGACGTAATTGAAATTATAATGGAGACAAAATACTGAAATACCTTTCTGTTTGTAATAAATAAAGATTTTGTTTTGCAGAATCTTGGTTTTAAAAAAAAGTAACAAAAAACTTGCTTATTGTAGACGGGTTTAAATATATCGCCTAAGCCATTTCATATCTGAATACTGCATAATATCAACATAAATCGAGATAATTAAATCTGGACAATAAATATATATGACGTTAATTTACCCAACGAAACCGGTGCTACGATAAATGAAATAAATAAGCGCGAAATATTTATGAAAAAAAAAACATTATTTTTATATCTATCTATTTTCAATTTTGCTTATACAAATTGTGCAAATAGCAAAGTATTTGAAATCGCATGACTATTGTAAAAAGTTGATGTAAGATATGCGCAATTATAAATTAATGCATAAATAAACACGATTTAATACGTCACAACACTGTCTATTTTGATTATGATTTCGAGGTACATATGCACTCATTCGTATTTTACTTTTATTTATTTATATCAAGTTCAAACATAAAATAAGCTCATTTTTTATTTAAAGTTCAAGTCCTCACCTGAGGGTGGCGGTTGGTATGATGTGTAAACTCCGCCAGGATTTCCATTCGAAAGCGAATTGGCTTGCGCTTGCTGCAGCGCTTGCTGCAATGATTTTTGTACTGCTGCATGTTGAGCAGCAAATTGCTCATTCAACCTAAATCCACGTGAAAAAATTATTACACATCATTAATTTTTATTTGACTGGTTCAAAAGTTAATGTTAAAATGTAGTTGTAGTAGGTATGATATGAGCAAGCTGCTAACACATATAATTTTCTAATGATTGCACTCGATTTTGCAGTATATAGGAATAAGAATATGGACAGAACATGATTGTTATAAGAAAAGGATTATACTCTGTTGTTGTATCTAAAATTATTATTTTACTGTTTTTCGTAATTTCATGCCATTTCTACTACAATGGATGTTTAACCATAGTCAGAATTTAAAAGGTATAATATTTTTAGGGTTATGATACGAAATGTATATAAATATATGTATTGATCGTTTAATCGAAGTTGAAACATATTTGATATATTATATATAGAAGCTAATTTGTCTAATTAAAAATGTAATAATATGTACAATTTTTTATTTGAGCACTTAGACACTTATATGTGTAGTCATTTAGCAAATCTAAATTACAAAAAGATTAACAATGAATAAAATGTGTTTGTCAATTTTTTTGTTTAATTTTTTCAAATATGCACATTAGAATTAAAACATTTTTTTATGAAATTCAAATTAACATTGAACATAATAAAATTTATAGAACATTATAAATGAAAAATAACTTTATAACACCAAATATTTTTTGATAACATAATTATGGCTTGATCCAATGTCAAAAAATCAATTGCAAATACGTTTAAATTGTAAATATTATTTTTTTTCTGCTTGATTATATATATATAATTTTCTCAAAATCTAATTAGTTGATTTTTTTATTCAAATAATGAGTGAAATTGCAGTTACGATGGAGTCAAATACTAACTAAAAGGTAGTGATTTTGTGCTGGTGCTTACATTTGCAGGTGCTTTGCAAGTTCATTGAAGTACCTTGCTTGTATTTGATGACCATTGTTGAAAACTTCAGCAGGGATTTGCTGAATTGGAATCAATGGAAATCCTTCGCCTCCATACTGCCCCAGTCCAGCAGACGAGGAAGCAAATGATCCAGCCGAAGAGCTTGCACCTATAAAAGTACTTCATTAGACTGGTACTAAGGTTGCTTAATATTAGCCAAAGACGATTAAATTTAAACTAATAAATTATTTATTACATACGTATCCGTATATGATATACCATCAGTAGATATAGAGAAATCCAAGCAAACGTCGTACTATTGGCAAGATCTTCGTAGTTTTAAAGCACAATAATAATAAATAAGAAACGAAATATTGTAAGGGTGTGATTCAAAGTGATTTCACATAACATTTCTCTACTAGTTTGTTAGAAGTAGGGTAGAGCGGAGCACAAGGGTCTAATTTGACTTCAAGTCTAAACCAAACGAATACATATCACAACAAATAAATACTGTCTAAATCTAAACCAAACGAATTACATCACCACAAATAACATGTATCAAACTAATAACTATCGAACTATGTTCAGTCAAATTTTCAGTTAATTCCTATTTATAGAAATGTGTTTATAATTTTTTTTTAAATTTGTCATTAATATTATAAACGGGGTTTAACGGAACAATAAGAGGTCTGATAACAGATCTGATACCTTATTTTTAATTTTAAAAAGATTTTACGAAATGTTAGCTACATTATTCAACCAATGCAAAATAACAATTTTATGGGTACATTTTTTACAAAGATAACATTGATGTATATAACCATGATCCCGTTGTTTGTCAGATATATTTATTAGCAGAATTGCAGTAACTATTTCTTTAATTTATCTCTTGTAAAATTACTTTTTTATTTAATTTATTTTTAGTTCACTATTTTTTTACTGCTTACACCTTGCCATTGTAAAGGTTTAGTTGGTCTTTTTTACCCCACCCAAATGCAAGCTTTTTATAGAAGTTATATAAAACAAACCGTTAAATCTAACTTGAAAATAACAACGCAACTAATGAAACAATTGAATAACGAATTTTTAAAAAAATAATTTAGTTCTCGTAAACTAAACAACAGCGCTCACAACCAAAAAAACTAACACCGGAAGATAATACTTTTATTCAAACATTGCCGTTTATCTTCTGATAGCAAAGTCGTAAGAATCAAGTTGATGGTTGGTTATACATTTTTTGCCTTCTACTTTAGAATATTGTTGTAAAAAAATTCCTAATTTTAGATTGCGATATCTGTTGTAGACATTTCTACCCACAAACCTTATTCTTTTAGACAATTTAATTGATTGAGAGCTGTATATACAGGGTAAGAAACTTCCTAATCATATTAATTTTATTGATATATAAAAATACTACTGTAGTAAAAAAATATTCTATTTAAAAAAATTATGTATTGGTCATTGTAAAAATATAATTGGTGTAAAGCAATTTTTACAGCAACTTAATTATAGTGTATACTATGCATTGATTTGGATAAACAAGATACCACGTTTAATATAAAAAAAAATCAGAAGCATATGCGCTAAAAAAATAAACATTTACAAATTATAAATACCAAATACACCCATATATCTTAGTTAGAGTAAACACCATGCTATTTGTATTGTATTGAGTTCCTTGTTATTGTTACGATAAAAAACAGTCCTCATTTTCATACACAATTGGTACATTTGGAAATAATTAATGGCATTGAAATTTTACGTGGAAAGCAAAAATGTGTTATATTCAATTATAAATTTTGCATTAAATGTGAAATCTAATAAACGTAATCGTACTATTATTACAATGTTTATAATTTGTGTAAAATTTGTATTATAAAAAGTTATTTTGAATCTCATTATTGTGTATTTATAAATATAATCATTTGCAAAATTATTTTGAAGGATGCTTGAGTCTAGGATTTTTCTTTGAATTTATAAATTAATTAGTTAACCATGTGTTTCATTCAAAAGTAATGCGATATGAAAACACACATACACACACACGCGCACGCACACATACACACACACACACACATATATATATATATATATATATATATATATTGATATGTCTTGATATGTCCTGGTTTTATCGTTATTGCTACCTTTATTAACAAACATCTTGAAGAGTCTATAATTAAAAAAAATTAAAATGTTTGTTTTTAATATTTAAGTTTTATGATTTTATAAACATTCTTACGTGCTTTGATCACATGGGTGTATAATAAATCTCATTTACATTGGTAGGCCGAAGAGCCCCTTGGTTTTACGGAAAACCAAGCCTAAATCTTTTGAAAATACGCGAAAAAAGTGCAAAAACGGCCATTTGAGTATTAAAAATAGAACGCTCATCAATTTTTAGATTTTCGACAGAAATTTTGACATTATGTTATTTGTTTTCATCAAATTTTAATAATGAATTTTCTACGCCTTTTCGGAATTTTGTGTACCATTATATTAAGCCACCTGCAATAAACGTAAGATCATTTCAGAATTAAACTTGTAAACGATCAAAATATTTCTCCTATTTACCATGCCCATCGAAAATGGTATTTTTGAATAATTTGATATTGCATTTATAAACGGAGAAAAATATAATTTTATTATTTACTTAGTGTATAAATCTTATCTAAAAATAATAGTGTTAAAATTTTACCTAATACATTTACTATAAATTTACTATATTAAAATCCCATCATATTAACAACATTTATGAATTAAAAATTGAAACTATACTCGTATTATTTAACACGTAATTTATACTGCACATACACACACGCGTACACACACACACACACACACACAGATATATATATATATATATATATATATATATATATATGTATATTATTTACACTATATACATATATAATTATAATAGTACTAAAATATAACATATTTTAACAATCGCTATTTTGATGGCATTTAAATTTAATTTTGCATCTATATACACATACATGTTCATGACGTTTTATTTAATTATATCTATGAAGGGCATTGCGAGATCAAGGTCAACAATTATAAAAAATAAATAATCAATTTATAGAAAATAATATTGACCAAATACACATCAATGTCATTAGTTGTGTATGTTTGAGGTTATTATATGTTATTATATTGATAAGTGAAATGGGAGGTTATAAATATATTATCTTGCTAAAGATTTCATTTACCGTCTTTCAAGAGATAACACTGTACTTAAAAAAAGATAGAAAGTACAACATACTGTGAAATTAATTTGTTTACTGACACTTTAGTATGAATATCTAATTATAAACACAAAAGCATACTTGCGATAGTGTTTTATTACATGTCATTTATGATTATGAGTATGCATAGCACCTGGAAAAGGCACGTCAAGAAAAAGCTTGGCAATAGCTTGATGACACGAGAAAGAGATATTACTTGTACAAAATTATTTTTGAACCAATTTGGACTTAGAGCATACAACTATGAGTATCACCTTCTGAATCAAACGTCTTAAAAATTCAAAGATGTAAAAATAAATTAGTAATAGAAATTTTGAATGCATGAAATAAATAAAATGTTCCAAATTTTTTCACCCATAACTATGCCGACATCAGCACAGTAAAACCATCATTTTAATTTTTTCAATATACTTATTTTTAATAATTTTATTTTTTTTTTAAATTTATTTCTTTAGAGTGCAGGAAGATTTAGTAATTTCCCTGAAAGAACATGGTCATAAGCACATGCTATTTTTATCAAGAAATTGCAATGTCATATAATGCGTAAAAAAGGCTGTTTGCCAGCTCTGAACTATCTTACCGAGAAACCATATTATAGGATTATGCTAAAATTTTTAGTGTTTATAGCAAGAATGACACTGGAGAAAAACTAATCGTGCATGGCATTATGTCCCGTTTCTTAATGAAAAATAATCAAGGAATAAAAATAATCAACAATCAATAAAAATTGATCGTTGGCCGATAACAATTGTTTCTAATATTTTAAAATGATCTTTATAAATACTGTATACTGTATCATCATTCGTATTTTATGGGCGACAAATTTTTATATGTTTACAAAAAAACATAAATAACCACACCTAATTGAGTCGCGAGTCTTATCTCGTATTTCTAAGGAAATAATAAGGCCTCTAAGTTGCAAAGTCAAAATTATTTAAGTCAAGTATATAAGTGAACTTTAAAATTTATGAAATTTGGAAATTTTTAGAAATACTTTGTACATTTTTGAAAATTTTAATAAAAACCAATATTCATTCTTGATATTTTTATAAAAAAAGAATTTTTTAAATTTTGAATTTTAAGGCTTATTAAGAAGATTGATTTTAATTTTTTTTTTAAATTTTGTTCTCTCGAAAACTGCATTTTACAGTATTTGCTCCATATCAGCAAAACGGCTAGAATCGCCCCTCCCGCAAAAACTTACAAGCGCAACTCGCAGTCAGTACAAATCGAACGGTTTTTAATCAATAAAGTCAGTTTATGCAAACTGCCAAAAAGTCGAGAATATTCGTTTAAATATATGAGTAAACTTTAAACTTGTATGCCAAAATGTTCAGGAGGACTTAAAACGTGATAAGTAAAAAAAATATTTTTGATCTTTTTGCGTTTACTATAACTTACCCTACGGAAAATTAATAATACGTCCAATTTAAAGTCATAATATGAAAGATAACAATGATCATTTTGCTTATAGCGATCATTACTTTTACATAAGTGAATAGTGTGAATTTCACTAATTTTATATGATATGTATATGTGTAAATAAATAGTAAGACGATACTTTTCATAGTCATATTTGTTGAAACTAAATATCTGATATAGAATGATTTAAAATCTGGACTTATTTTATATTTTAATACAAATAGTTAATTAACCGTACTATATTCATTACATTGATATTATGATGGTAAAATCTAATAAAAATTGACTCTGCCGTTTGTGTATTCTATTGTGTTGTCAGATGGGGAGATCTTAGTTATTTAAATACTTAGCACCTTCATTCATGTTCGTTGATAGATTTTCTAAATAAATACTTAGAATTTGAATTCATCTGGGAATTATTCCATCCAAAATGAAGTACCTACTCACACATGGTCAGAAAAAGGAAAACAAGGAAACTAGCCTTGCAACCTTGCAAAGAAGTTGTTAGATCAATTTTATAAGAGAAAAGTTGAAAAATGATCATAATAAAAGATTTTAAGTCTACTAATAAGTAAAAGTCCATTTTATATTTTTTATCACTGATAAGAGCCGAATTACTGAACGTTGTTCTTAGATTTAATATTTTGTACTTTATAAGCAATTGATTTAATGTCTCTTGAAAATTATCAATCAAATAAAAAAATATTTTAAGATCATTTGATTTATTGTTTTGATTATCAACTCTATAACCATATAAAGTTTCATCATATTATTAGTTTTTGTAAGTTAATATGTAAATATTGGAGCAATAGCTTTATTGAAAATTTCATTGACTCGGCAAAATTTCTTGAAATAATTATATACTAAATTCGTAGCGTCATATACGAGTATACATATATATATATATATATATATATATATATTATAGAATTTTATGATATGAGTGGAACGAATATTAATTGTTTAATATGAACAAAACAGCACTCAGATTTGTTTAACACAACTTTATTTTATGATTACAGACGTTTCGAGACCATGGTGTGTCTCATCTTCAGTGTAATTTCAAAAACAGTTACTTATATACTACACATTCTTTAATAATTTATTTAAATTTCATTTAATTTTTGATATACAAAAAACACCAACTATTCCTTGCAATGCTTGACACAGTACTAAAGAAACATATAACACTTACAGAAATATTCTAAACAAATTTGAAGTACTTATCTAGATGGAGACAGAATGGGTATCATTATAATGTAAACAAAAGGAGTGCTATCGCATACAAAAATCGATAAAAATGAAAAAACAAATTAATTTATTGAAAAGAATAAGATAAATGAAAAAATTTATAAATTATTAATGATGTTTATATAAGTGTCATGTAAAATATTTGTGTCGGTTCTTAGATTTATGCTATTGTTAGTCCGAACTATTAACATTGATTCTGCCATGCTCCGTTTAAATAAGTCTTTCTCATGGAATAAAATTTGGGGTTTGTCAAAATCAAACTTATGGTTGTTGATATTAGCATGATCCACAAGTGTACTTTTAAATTTTTTATACTTTTTAAATAAAGTATTAAAGAATGTGTAGTATATAAGTAACTGTTTTTGAAATTACACTGAAGATGAGACACACCATGGTCTCGAAACGTCTGTAATCATAAAATAAAGTTGTGTTAAACAAATCTGAGTGCTGTTTTGTTCATATTAAACATATATATATATATATATATATATATATATATAATCTCAAACTATAATAATCTCAAACTATATAAGGCAACTGCATGTTTGATATTAGAAGTTAAATTAATTCCATCAAATTAAATAGAGATAAATATTATTATATATATTGTATTTAGTGGATATTTTGTTTATTTGAAAACGCATAGTTAATTTAACTTCAGACTAAAAGCTGCAACAAATCTTACATTGTACAATGTGTTTAAGATTTGTTGATGATATACGTATATCATATTTTAAATTTATCTAAAAATTGAAAAAAATAATACTTAAAATTTGCGGAAATAATTATAATTAAATTAAAAATGTGTTATTAGTGAAGAAAATAATAGGCGGTCAATACATCAATCAATCATATTATCACATTCGTTATCCACAGTGTTTTAGCATAAACATATATTCAAGCTTAAAAATTAATTTAATTAAAATATTCTATAAAATTAAATAAAATACAATTATTAAAATATTTTTAACAATATAATAAATAAAATTATTTAAATATAATAATTACCTGCAATTACCGGATTACACGAAACCGTTTTAAAAAATAACAACATTCCCAGGGAAGCCGCGAGAACAACCATTGTGACCGCCATGGCAAGAATATTTTATCACTTTTCAGTTAAGTATCACAATCTCAATTAATTCAGGCACAAAATGGCAATCACTAATATAGTGTGTTCGATTCAAATTGTTTTGTTTAATGAATTGTTATTAACTTGTTCAACAATTAACTTCCATGCCTTATTTCATGTCAACTCTGACTGTCGAACCTTGATCACACGCCAGATCATTTGAACAGGTCTCTCTCTATAAACAAGTTAGCTTCTTCTTCGCTTCTCAAACTTTCACATCAGACAAGCATTTCACTTATTATCATACATGAATTTGATTATTCGCAATAAAAAGGCGTGTTTACGTGAAAAAAAAGAATTATCATAGAAGCAAGTCCATGATAGATCGATTATTGAAGTGATCAGAATATAGTGATAGAACGTGGTGACAACCAGATTTTTTATGGAATTAATAATTCTTATATTATTTAGTTGCGTTAATTGTACAAATTTGATGTAAATGAAAATATAGTTTCATGATATATATATATATATATATATATATATATATATATATATTAATTAAAGCTATTAAAGAGTGTTGCACCTGAAGCCACAAGGTCAATTGTACTAATTTTATTATTTTATATATAAATAGAGTTTTGACACATACGTATCAAAATTACACTTTGTACAAATAAATGAAAATGAATTTTTAAAACAAAGTTTTATTGGCTTGCGTATTTGCTGTGCGAGTCGGCGGCCTAATACAATTAGCAAGAATTTTTTATACGGGAAAACTCAACTTAACGCAATACATCATTTACAATTTCTGAGAATTAAAAATCAGAACTAATGGTGCATGGCATCGTGAAAATTGCTGGAACTTCCCGTTGCCAAAACATCGTGCCTTAAGGCAAATTGCTGGAACACCCCCCCTACCAAAAATTAATTTTTTTAAAAATATTCATATTTTTTTAGCACTATGAAAAAACTGATTTCTGAGATTTTTAATATTTTTGAATAAAAATTGACCATTTGAAAAATTTGCTTTTTTATGCCTTGAAATATTTTGTAAGTTTTGAAATTTTTTTCAAAGCAATCGCGATACATAGAACGAAATATCGAAGCGCCGCGTCGAAGTATTATGGATAAACATTGGTACGGAACCCATAGAAAAGCAAACAAAATTTGTTTTTATTACTAAAATATCTATAAAATATGTAATAATTTGATGTGTATGTGTCTAATGATCATTTTTGTCGAAAAATTCAAATAGAATTTTGAAATTTTCTCGTTTAGCCAAATACAAATAAAATGTTTTTTTAATCTTTCAAATCGGACGCCCCGTTCTCTCAAAATCTCAATTTCCATTTTTGGCACTTTTTGGCCCATATTTTCGTAACAGCCTGATCTGCCTTTACCAAAAACTAATCAGCACATCTCCTCATTAATAAGAATCGAACGTTGTTGAATTATTCAAATCGGTTAATCTGTGTTTTCAAAATCGTCGACAAAAATTTGTATTTCCACACAGACACACACATACACATACACATACAGACACAAATACACGTTTTTCTAAGGTATGTCAAAATGTTGAAACTTCTGAAACAAAAAAGATATAGGTATACAAATTATACTATATTTATATTATATTGATTACTATAATTTACCCTATGGGTAGGTAAAAATAATCATATAATTGAAATTTTCCAATTTATCTTCTTAAGTCACTACGAAAAGTTACTTATTGGGAAACATATCTACAAGATAATTCAACACATTCAAGTAGAATTATTAGTTTCCATTATTAAAAAGAATTATATTTATTCCATTATTATAAGAATAAGAGCATTTAAAATTTTTGTTTCCAGCTGCATATTTAATATTTTGTACTTTTATTATAAATATTTTTATCGCTTTTTAATTTACAATTACAATTGAGTAACTTTGGCGCAACAAAAGTCGCTTTTTCAACAATCAATCATAGAAATCATGAACCCAAAACATAATTTGTCATCCAGTTTTCAAAAAACTATTACTAATTGCTTAATTATAAAACTTGCAGAAGAGACAATTCGCTACAGACATTTTAATACGTGGCAAAAATATCGACAAGAATTTTTGAATTTTAAAATTAAAAGTCCAATTTGAAAAGTTTAGCTTAATATCACGGATTCCAGAAAACTGAAAAAAAACTTATTTTTATTTCAAGCAAGTTATTTATATCTAGTAGTAAAATGGTTTATCTTCAATATGTTATATATAATAAGTTATATTTTTTTCATTTAAGCATATTTATTTTTGCACAAAATACTTGAAAAGTTAAAATAGTTTGAAGTAGAATACAGGATATTGAACATGATGGCATGGATCTAAAAATTTGAGAATAAATTATGCATATGCTATTTAATTTATAAAAAATGCGACAAAAAAAAATTTTTGTCATTCAGAAGACAATTTTTGCACTTTGATCTTCGTATCTTTAAAACCACTGCATTTGACTTTGCAAATATGTAACTAATAAATTCAAAACAAATGTTGTTGAAAATTATTCAAATCTGTTGATATATTCTTTTACAAACTTAATGACATTATTTATCATTTTTATCCCTCAAACCGTCATACAAATACATTTTTTTTTAACTTTCCGTAGGATAAGTTATAGTAATCGTCCACAAATCGAAAATGAAATATTTTATATATCTTTATGTTTCAAAGGTTTCTGAACATGTTGGTATACCTTGAAAAAATTGAAGGGTGTATATGTGTGCATGTAGTATGTATGTATGTATGGATACAATTTTTCGTCGACGTTTTCGGAAGCACCGCTCAACCGATTTGAATTAATCAAAGATTATTCGATTCCTATTGTTAAGGAGACGTGCTGATTAGTTTTTGACAAAGACAGGTCCAGTCGTAAAAGTACAGAGCATCCGATTAGCATGATTCAAAAAACATTCCATTTGTACTTACGTAATAAAGAATTGATTATGTTTTTGAAAAGGCAGGACCAGCGGTTTCGGAGATCCAGAAATAAAAGTTAAAAAAAAATGCCATTTGGCGGTCGAAAATCAGATATTTTGTAATTAAAATCAATCGATATGAATGAGTATCAAAAACTATCGAGAAATTTCAGAATTTTCAAAAAAAAAACAAAAAAAAATTAGTTTTGAAAAAATTTCCGAGATTTCAAAAAATATCAGTATTTTCAAAAGCGCAATTTTTTTTAATATTCAAAATTTTCATATGTTTTCAAATTTTTCAAAAATGTTTAAAAAAGTCTAAATTCTCAAACAAAATTCTAAATTTTCTTTTCTGTTTAAATTACGATACGGAAAGTTCCAGTAATTGGAAAACCTTAAGGCACAATGTTATGCACCACAAGTTAAATAAATTAGTTGGTTCGTTACTTCAAAAATGAGATACAAAATAGTATCTGAATATGCATACAAACGTAAAAATGTTTTTTCCCAAAAAATTTACCAAAATAATCACATGGTTTTGATACGCAAAGAGTTAATAATATACATGCAGATTAACGTAACGGGCACTTAATAATATGCATTAATATCAAGCATAAAAATAAATGAGATATTCCTGATAAAACAATATCATTTGTCATTAAGATTTTAACGAAATCAATTTTCTGGATGACTTCTTCATACTAATAGTGAAAAGGCAACAAATCATTATAACTAATTATCATTAATTATTATTTTGAAGCAATCGCTGTGAATCATTGGGTTTATGATAACTAATTATGCAGATAATAATGAAATGATCCAACACATTATTGAAGGTCGAACAGACTCGTTTACAAAGTCACAAGTTCAAGGTGTGCGATTATTCGAAATATTCCCACGTCAAATTTTATCAAAGGAAAATCAAATCCGCGCTGAAAACATACACATAAACGTTTAGCTTGAAACTGTAATCAAGTAATCTTTGGGAAAAGACAATAAAAGAATTTATATAGTTCAAAACGTTCTTGTACATTTTGTATAACTTTTCATGTACAAAGTAGACTCTACTTTGTAGAGCGAGGCTTGAAGGTCCGCGGATAAAAAGGTTCACGACCGATATCTCAAAAAGAGGAAAAGTTAAGAATTTTTTATTAATAATATTTGAAAGTAGAAGGAAAAAGATGTAAAACCAGCCATCACCTTGATTCTTACGACGTCGATATCGGGAAATAAACGGCAATGTTTGAAAATCCATACAAAAGTATTTTGTTTCGTTGTTAGTTTTTTTTTAGTTTAGGCTACGAGACCTTAATATATTTTTAATATATACGTTATTTATTTGTTTTATAAAATGTATTATTATGTCAAGTTGGAATCATCCGTTTTTTTATATAACCTTTATAAAAGCTTTCACCAGGGTGGGTAAACAGAACCAACTGAACCTTTACCCTGACAAAGGTGTAAACAATATAAAATAGTAAATTAAAAGGTGAATTAAGTTTAAAAAAACAAAATAATTTTACAAGTGATAAATTAAATAAATAGTTATTTCAACTCTGCTGATCAATATTTCTGACGAAATAGCGGATCAAGGTTATATACAGTGTTATCTCTCTTTTTCTGTAAAAAATGCGCCCAAAAAATGTATATTTTGCATTGGTCAAATAATATAGCTATTACTTCGTAAAATCCATTTAAAATTAAAAATGAGACATTAGACCTAATTGCCCCTGACCGTCTCATTTTATACCGACTATGGGGTAAAAAAATCAGGTAAAAAATTTTTATCAATTATCAATTATCTGGGAGTTTTACTGAACATATTCAAATATTTGATATGTGTTATTTGTTGTGATATAACTAGCTTGGTTTTCACAATATAATTACCCACTGTCAAATTGAATCTTTGTGCATGTTCTACCCTATCAGAGTTATTTTAACAATAAATTTATCAAAATATCAAAGGCCAACCTTTGGGTTATAACAAGTCCGAACAATCAGCTCATACAACTATTAAGCTGTTAATAAAACAAAAATTTGAAATTACAATCAAATTTCCGTAGGAAAGAAAAATCATTTAAATATTCATGCCGAAGGATCAATATGATATACCACATGTATACACCTTATGTAATTAATGTATGTGTGCGTAATATGTATATACAAAAATTATATTTTTTTAAAGGTCTTCAAATCTCCTTATGCAAGTACTTAATATATGTGTGCAT